TGTGTGTGTGTGTCTGAGCTTTCAGTGAGATAAACACTTGAGTTATAGATTCTCCACAGGAGGAAATCTATAATGTTTAATACAGGCTCAGTAGAAATATTGGTTTCCCTCAGTGAACAATCCAATTGAACCCTTCAGTTTAACAATGTGTATGTAGTTTGGATGAGGTCAATGCAGTGGCTAATACCCAGAGATCCATTGAATACATTTAATTCATGGCATGCCAATTCACAACAACAATAATCTGAAGGTACTTTGCAGTGTTATGGATCGAAAACAAACGATTCCCTCTGATCAAGTATGTAGTGATAACAGAAAGGAACAAAATCTCGTAACAAAAAGAAACCTCCAGCAGAACCTGGCTCAAGGTGGACGATCATCTGCCTCAGCCAATTTGAGGTAAAGAGGAAATAGATGAAGCTGACTACAGATCAGGAGCATGCAGTTTTAGCTCCTCCTCCAAGGTGAGACTGTGGGCTGTTGTTAAATGAGTACATCTTTCAAGGAAAAGTATAAGGTTTGGATTACTGCGTGAAAGAGACTGTCCGACAATACCTAAAACTTCCTCACGTACTTAAAAAAAAAAGTACAGGACAATACAAATGATACAGAAGGCATTAAACTCCTTCTCAGTTGACTTATTTATAGTCCCAGGAATATTCTGTTGCATAAAATGTGAAAACGGACAGACAATAACTCACCAGCATTTCATAAAGTTACAAAATGACCCTGCTTTATTTTTTTCAATTCGTAAACAATTATTACCCCATTAAATTCGATGAAAATAAACGTATATAATTTATTTCTATAATTGCATTTTATTTAAAAAAATAGTACTATAATAAATCCATTAATTTAACAGTAAATGATGGAGTAGTGACTTGTGGGCGGGAATGGTGGACTAGGATGCAAGCTATAGCTTCGTCAGAAACAATTAAGGATTGATCTTCTGTGATTTCCAGGCTCAGCAGAGACTGAAGACCCTGGGAGAGATGGTATGAGAGTGAGAGATGAGACATGGGGAGGAGATACAGGTCAGGTTCATCAGGTCAGGTTCGGTTCATTTCAAATTCGCAAACCTGGAGTATGGGACGAGTTTGACTATCGTGTGGACATGTGCCGCGCTTGCAGAAGGGGACACACTGAGTACTTATTAACATTTTAAGAAACTTTATACTCAACTATGTATTTAAAATTTACTGCAAACTTCTTTGTCCGCTATTTTTCAGATCAGATGAGCAGATGATTCTTTTCCAAACACCCAACAGAATTTTTAGTCCTCAGCCTTAAACTTGATTACATGATTACTCAAGAACAAGGCGACATGGGATTTCTAAATTAATACAATAGGGGCATCTGTTAAAAATCTCAGACAAGTTCGGATGTCACTGACCGTGACCTCTGACCTAGACCATGAGGTTACGTTTTCTGAAAGTCTGGTAAATGCTATGTCTCAAGAAAGAAGTCGCCAAGGATTTTTACATTTATGGTGCAGCTACTACGATGCAGAGGGGGTTGGTGCACAGTGAAATTCAGATGTGTAATAAACACACATGTAGGGGTGCTAAAGCAGTGCTAGGATTGTGTGATTTTGTGTCCCTAAAAATACGCTTATGTTGTCAGTCAAACTGAACCAAGAATAATGGACGTGTTATCAGTGCAAATTGACAGGTTGTGTGTGTGTGTATTTCGGGAGTATGCTGCTGACAGCACAGTGATGAGATGATAAGGTGTGGTCTTCATGCTGGAGAAAGCCAGAATGATGGACGTGCCTGTTTCTTACTCTTATCCTGATCATCTGTCCAGTTTGACTGACTGAGCAGTGATGCTCTGGAGTCTTCACCCAGCATACACCCACCTAAATACCTGCCTGATGCACACATGGAGGACAGGATGTGGAGGGATTGTTACAGTGATTTTTCTCTTCAGAGATATTTTCATTTCATTTCTAAAATAATTATCTCACTTTCCGGCCGGGTAGATCCAAGATGAGTTCTGTGCATTCACTTCCTCTAACCCTTACTCCTGGTGTTGTCCTCCTGTCACGCTCTTGATCTCTCCATCACCTTAGTGTCACTGCTTTTATCTCGTCACCCTAAGCAACCTCTTCATCCTATTGTCCTGCTGCTGCTATCTGCCTCTTTGTTACTGTGATGAGGGTCAGCGGGTCAGCCGGAGGGCTCGTCATTAGCTGTGCGCGTGCACGTATGTGTGCACAT